GCATTTTTTCCAGGGCCGTTGTCTGCCTTTATGGCTATCTGCTCTTCGGGTGCTCTGCAGTTCCAATGCACTTGGCAATTCAGCCTGTAAATACCCCTCTCCGGGATTTATGATTCGGGATAATGTGATTTTTCTCTTTGCCTCTGGATTCGTTTGTTTGGTTTAGTTTAACGACATTTCCTTGTCTCTGCATAAGTGAGGGCACGCAGGGAGTTGTTTTTTTTTTTTTTTTTCCCCTCTCCTCTTTGCAGGGATTTATTAGCAATGAGCAAAAATGGCTTTTTTGGGGAGGGCTGGTGGACACACTGGGTGGGGGGCCAAAGCCAGCCCTGAATCCCCGATGACCACCCCCAGTCATCCCAAAACCATCTATTTTTTCCTACAGAAAGCTTGTTTTTGAGGTTTTACCGAGAAAGCAGCTTTCCACCAAAGCAAAGCCAAGCCCTTTCCATGATGTTTGAGGGCTACTTCATCAGGCAGAGGCAGTGGGAGGCACAGTCCAGAATGGGAAAGCCGTTTGCTCCCCAAAATGAGATGCTTGAAAAACTGGGAGTGCTGTGGCTGGAATCCTATTCCCCTCAGACTTGATTTTTTTCCCCTGCAAGCCCCAGTTTGGGAGTTAAAGTATTAATATATAAAACCTTAGATGTTGAGTAATGTTTGTCACACCCTGGGTGCTGTAGGAAAGGATGGTGCTTGAGATGGGGCAAAAAGGCAGGATCACCATGGTGGAAAGCTCTTGGCTGCTCCTCCTTGGCTCTCCAGGACAAGGTGCAACCTGGATTTTGGTGATGCAGAGCTGGGAATCATCCATCACTGGGACAATTTCCACCCAGGGACGTCACTGAGGAAGCAGAGATGCAGGTAAACCCCCCCCCCATCACAGGCACTGGGCTTGTTTATTCTGAATTTCACACCAATACAAGGAGTTGGGATGCAGCAGAGAGATCCCTGAAAGTGGATCTGGGAATATGAAGAGCCAGAACTGGACTCATGGTGGGTGTGGGGCTGAGGTGACCCCAGCACCGATCCTGGGTGAGGACAGCACCAAGTGCAGAGCTCTGGAGGCAGGGAAGCACCTTCTTGAGTATCCAGAGGAGGCTCTGGGGTGAATTTTAATTTCTTTCCGTTTTTGTTGTTGATTTTTAGAGCGCTTGGCACCTCCTGCCTCTTTTTCATCACTTTCCTCCTTGATTCGCTCCAAATGAGCAGGAAGCAAGGCTGCTGACCGTGGATCTTCCCAGCAATGCCACTGCTGTCCTGTCCACCCCACGGTCAGGGTGAAGTCTGACATCCATCCACGGCTGAGCTGGTGCATCCGTGAGGTGAGAGTGGCCACCGGCAGCCCCAGGGAAGAGGTGAGGGGGATTTATGGAATTTCATCTCAGCTCTATCTATGATTGGGTTCACCTCAGTGGGGTGAAGTGGGACAGAGGGTGGGATGCTGAGGGGCATTGCGGCCAAGGAGGCTTTCGGGGAAGGCAGAGGAGGGAGGACGTGGTGTCCGGGGGTGCTGGGGAGTCCTTCTCGATGTCCCCACGGAATAGAACCCCATCCCCGGCAGTCTCGTCTCCGACCTCATCCCTATTGCCGAGCGTCGGGAGAGGGCGGCCTCGGCCGGGGCCCCGCGCGGAGCCGCTGCCGAGCAGGGATTTGCAGCTGAACTCTGCCCACAAAGTCGCTCCCAGCCTTTTCTCATTTCTTTCTGGATTTAAGGCAGCTTCCAAATTCCTGTGCAGCCAAATCCTGCCTTGGGGCTGCCAGGAAACACGGCCAGCAACAAGTACGTGCCGTTTCTGTACCCACAACACAGCCAGGGTTGCTGTTATTGTGCGGGTGATGATGACGGGACGGAGCTCCAGCCCTCCCGAGGATGCGATCCTGTCCCTTCCCACCCTGCCCTGGGCGCTGCCCCCGGGGGGGGGAAGCCTCCCCCTCATCACCGCCTTTCTAAAAACCAGAAAAGACACTCCACCCCACCCCAGCTTCCCTAAACTTCACCCGCCGCCCTCCCCGTAACCTCCCACCCAGCGCATGGAAGCTTTATCCACTCCCACTGGGATTTACGGTCCCAGGGACTTCCTGCGCTGCCTGTCATCGCACTCGCCCCTTCCCGCCACCGATAAATCAAACCTGTTTGTTTCGTGGTGCTCCGCCACCAGTTCTTTATTTATTTTTATTTCTGCCGCTGGCTCCCGCAGTCCCGGAGGGGTTTAGGGGACACCGGAGGCACAGGGGGCAGCGGCGGAGCAATGAAGGGCCCCGAGGCCACGGTGAGGGACACGCGTTGGGTCCCCATGTGCACCGTGGGTTCAGGGAAAGGGGAGGGGGTCAGGAAAATCCTGCACTGCTCATACAGACCAAACCCTGCTTCCCCTGCCTAAACACCATCAGGATCCATCCCCGCATCCCGAGACCCTCCAACGCTTGGGGATTCCACTGAGTCCACCCCGGTGTGGCGCCGGAGCAGCCTCAGGAAAGCCAAGGGCAGAGAGCCCTGCAGGGAACGGGGCTGCACATGCAGCCTCCCCACTCCAAACGTCCTCCCCGCCGTGGTGGGGATGAGGAGCCGGCTCCGGCCAAGCCCACCCATGGGATGCCTGATCTGGTCTTTCCACTGGTGTGACTCATGGAAAAACTCCTTGTTTTGCAGCGGCGCTCGGCATGCCGGGTGATTCTGCCTCTGTGCCTCGCTCGCCTGTCTTTTTTTGTTTGTTTTTTCTTTCTCTTTTTTTTTTTTTTTTTTTAAGGATCATTGGTATGAAAACATCTGGGACCCCCCGACCTTCCTGCAGAGCTCACCTGAAGGCATTTTCCCCCCTTGGACGCGTGCAGGGCTGGCCATGCAAACCCCACTGCCTGGGAGGCGGCCTGGTCGAGCTCCCGGGGCTGAATTTTTTGGGGATTAGTATTTTCGAGCAGCTCTTATACAACGGCAGAGGAGGCTTGGAGGGTTTCCACCAGCTCCTTGCGTGCTGGTTTCGGCACGTCTGCCAGCGCCGCCGGCTGCACGGGTCCGTCCCCCCCCCCCCCCCAAGGCTCTCCACGAGGTTCGTGGCACAACCTGGGGTGGCAGGGCTGGAGACTCAGCCTGGCTTGTTCTGAGTGTCCCCACTGTCCCCAGGGCCAGGCAGGACAGCGAGAATTGGGACCTCACTTGCTCCTTGCCAGGATCTGCTGGTAGATTCGGGGTTGGAGCAGTCAAAAACGGGAATGATGCTGATTTATGTGTCAGGTCCCCAGCACTGCTTCCCAAATACTGACCTTTCACCTCTTTTCCCCCAAATCCTGCGGAGGGCAGGGGTGGAGCACGGCCCTTTCCCGGTGGGACCAGCACATCCCAGACGCAGCTGGTTACACAGCAGGAGTCTGGGCCAGCTCTGTATTTAACTGAATTTGCTTTTTTTCTACCCTTTTTCTTGGAAATGAGCATGGAGAAGGATGTTCCTCGGTGCTCATCGCTGTGGATCAAACCTTCACCCCCTCCTTGCAGAGCACTGACCGTGCCACTGCTCTCTGGAAAGCACATTAGTAATTTTTTTCTTGGGGGGGGGGGGGGGGGGGTAATGGTTTAGTTTGGATTCTGGGATGGAAAATCATTTCCAACCCCCAAATTAGAAACAGAATAATAATAAAGCGTCTTGTTTTGGAGGGGACGGCGTGTGTCATCCCGCAGCAATGAGAAACTTGTGCTGGAGAGGAGCAAAGAGCTGGGATTTATTTTTTTAACGCTCCCCAAAGGACTGACGTGGCTCTGGGATGCTGCTCCCACTCCCTTGTACCCGTGGACGGGGATGGCCCGGTCGCTGTGGGCAGGGGATACCCATGGGGGGGTGTCCTTACAACGTGTAGGGAGCTTTATCACCCCAATCCGTTGTCCTCACGCTTGGTTTTGTGGAGGAAAGGGGATTGTGCCGTGTGGTTTTCTGCCCTGCCCTTCCCTAAGGAGCTGGGATGGAGAGCTGATGTTCAGGGATGGGACAGGAGCCGATATTTTGCCGTGCTGGGCTGGGGGGAGGTGTGAGCAGGTGATGCTTTCTCCTGGGGATTTTCTTCTTTCAGTGCGGTGGATTAGAGTGATTTCACTATGGATTGCTCTCTCTGTGGTCTCTCTCCCCCCAAAAAACATCAGGTCCTGTGAAAACCGGGTCAGACTCTTGGAACAGGGAGTCATGCTGGGACAGTAGCTAGTCCTGCCTGGGACGGGCTCATCCCTATGTCACATTGCCAAAAATCCCTTAAAAATAACATATTTTAAAAATTGCAAGTGGTTCTCCCTGCTTGTGGGAGCAGTGACTACTCAGGGGGCCAAAACCCAGTTTAAATGCTGAATTCCTGTGTAGAGGAGCTTCCATTCCACAATATTTCTCTCCCTCTTGGGTCTAACATGTTGTACACCCAAAACCTGTGCCGGAGCTGGGCTGCCCAGTCTGCCTTTGGGGTGCCCCCAGGGTGGGTTTTGGGGTGAGTGGTCTGTGTGGAGCCAGTCCCTGGGATTTAATAAGACACTTATTGTATGTTAAATATCAAGGGCTGATAGGAAACATGTGTCCTGAGGATTAACAGCCGTGTAAAAGATAAGGCCCTGAGTTAAACCCCCAAACAGCGTGTTCCAAATAACCCTCTGTGGCTGCAGAATGCCCTAATGGGGTAACCAGGAGTGGGATAGGGGAAGGTAAAATGTGTTATCACAGATCACAGCTCCCCAAAATCCTTGGGATGGGGTTGGGACTGGGTTTTCTCCCAGCCAGGTGATGCCCAGGGATGCCGGCTAGCACAGGGGTGACGTCAGTCAGCTCCTTCTTCCCCCATTTCTTCCTCCCTTTCCACCTCTCCCCCTTCTTGAAATGATTTTTTTCCTGGTTTGTTTTTTTTTTTTCTTTTTCCCAGGCCCCAATTTCTCCCCCTGTCGAGGCGAACGCTTGGGCTAATTAGCAAAACGTGTCAAAGAAAATGATTAATGTCCCGGGAGGAGGCTGAGCTGCCTTTGTGCCGGCATTGCCTGACTTCTGCTCTTAAAGGTTTTATTAAAAGATAAGGGAGCTCGTGACGGGTGAGCAAAGCATGTGCTTCCCTGGGTGTTAAAGGGTCGGAGGAGGGGGGGATGTGGGGCAGATCAGGGTCACCCTCGGAGGGAGAGGCGAGGGCTCGTGTTTCTCTGCCTCTGTGCTCGACCGTCACCGTGGTGTCTGGCCTTGGCAGGGGAAAAGACTTTAAAAAAATGGCTGAATGCCTCCTTTATTCTTCCAGGGGCAGGTAATTCAATCTGGCCAGCCAGGTTATGAATGTTGCTGTGTTACGGGGTCCTGCGTGCTCAGGGAGTGGGGCTTCAGGGGGTCCCGGGGAGGGGGTGCTCAGGGTGGGCATCCCAAGCTGTGGTGCTGGGACACCGGGGATTGGGCACAGCCGAGCTCCTGCCCGGGGCAGAGGTGGCAGCAGGGACAGAGGTGGCAGCAGGGACAGAGGTGGCAGCAGGGACAGAGGTGCTCAGGCATGGCTTTGCTGGACCCTGTGGACACAGAGGTTGGGCTCGAGCCTTGAGGGACATCCCTGATGCTGTTTGCTGTGGGCTGAAACCCTCCATCCCAGCTCCCTCCTGGGGGTCCTGGGGCTGGGTGGGCAGCAGAGGCACAGGAGGGAATCTGAGGCGTGGTCCCACCAGGCTCCTGCCAGGACCACTGTACCCAACTGTCCTCACCTCTCTGGGTCTGGGCATGTTTTCAGCAACTTCCAAAGCATGGCCAGTTCAGCAGCCCCCAAAAACATACTCCCTGTAATCTGAACCCCTGCAGCTCCCCCACCCCAAACCAGCAGCCCTCGCAGAAGGGTCTTTTAAAAAGGCAAAATCTACCCCGGCAGCTGCCACTGCAGGGTCACACAAACCAGGGCCGGCAGTGCCACGGCCATGCCAAAATCCCAGGCAGGAGATCGACCCCGGGAGCAGGGAGAGGATGAGGGCGGTGGGACCTCCTCCACCAGCACACTGGTTATTTTATTCTATCACGAGCGATTCCCAAACCCAGCAGCCACAGAGGCCTGGGCCACTGGGTGCATGTCAGAGGGGTTTTGGGAGGGGGCACAGCTGGCAGGAGCCTCGGAGCAGGGAGGGGGCTGCAGGAGCTGCTCCGTGAGGTTTTCCTCCAGCAAACAGCGCTCTGGGCTTAATAAGCTATTTGTAAAACTGGCTGTGGATAAACAAGAGGCCGTGTGTGAGGCTGGAGGCGGCCTCGCAGGGCTCCGCCGCGCGGGGTGGGACCTCAGCACAGAAATATTTTCAAGATAAACAGAGGAAAATGAGTCCTGGAGGAGGCTGGAGCCGCTGGCAGCAGCACACACAGCTCCTCTCCGAGATATTTTGGGGCAGGAACTTGGCTTTCTGCAGCGCTGCAGCTCAAAGATGCTTTTTTGGTTTTTTTTTGTTTTTTTTTTTCCTCTGAAGGGAACCTCTCGTGCTGCTGATTCAGAAATAAACCTGAGGAGTGGTTGGCAGTGAAGGCAGCGGTGAGGAGACGTGCAGAGCCCGGGGCTTGCAGGGGAGTTTTGAGGTGAGGGTGAGGGTGAGGAATTGGGATGGAGGGCTGCTGGTGCAGGTCCTCCTTGGGCAGAGCTGCCTTCCCAGAGGACCCCCTGGGCTGAGGTGGCAATACTGGGAGTGGGGTTGTTCAGTCTGGAGAGGAGAAGGCTCTGGGGAGACTTTAAAGCCTCTACCAGTGCCTAAGTAGGGGCTCCAAGAGCTGGAGAGGGACTTTGGAGAAGGGCCTGGAGTGACAGGACAAGAGGGAATGGTTTCCCACTGACAGAGGGCAGGGTTAGATGGGAGTTTGAGGAGAAATTCCTCCCTGTGAGGGTGGGCAGGCCCTGGCACAGGTTGCCCAGAGAGGCTGTGGCTGCCCCATCCCTGGGAGTGTCCAAGGCCAAGTTGGGCGGGACTTGGAGCAACCTTGGATAATGGAAGGTGCTCCTGCCCATGGCAGGGGATTGGACTGAAATGGTCTTTAAGGTCCCTTCCAAACCAAACCATTCTGGGATTTCATGGCTCCAACATGAGCAGCAGAGCCTCCTTGCCTGACTGCTGGTGCCTCCATCAGCTCCTCCGCTCCCCAGCACAGGTAGAGGCAGTGCAGGGGTGCCCAGGGAGGGATATGGGCATTGTCCTGCCCTCTGCCAGGATGGAGCTCAGGAAATGGGCTGGGCTCCATCCTTCTATCCCTTCTAACCCCTCTTCACCGTCTCTACCCCCTCCATCCCTGGGCCATGGGGTTTGGTGCTGGTTTCTCTCTTCCCTGTTCTGTGCTGGGTCTGGAAACTGCAACGGGGGCCGAGTTTCCTTGGGGCTGAGCTCAGCTTGGGGCACCAGGGCCGGGACCCGCTGCAGCCTCGGCAGCTGAGATCTCCCAGTGTATCTCTCCCTCTCTTCCCCACCCCCAGCAAATTTAATTAAAAGTCATTCAGATTCCTTTGAAAGAAAATGTCATCCGTCGACACAATTACACTTTAACTAACCAAAGCTGTTACAGTTCCTATATATATTGGAATCAGGCTGTCGTTATTAGTTCTAAGTAAGTAATTTATTCCCATTATTGTGTTCAAATTACAGGATATTACCCCCTGGGGAAATAATCCTGTTATTTGAAATGTAAAAAAGAATTCACATGGACAACAATAGATTCCTAAACGAACCCAACAACAGTCCCCAATCCCAGCGCGGCATCACTTGACTCAGATAGGAAAATATAAAGTTTCTTTTTAAAAAGGGGTTTTTTCCTCTCCTCTCTTTCCCTTCTCTTGCCCCAGTGGAGGTAAAACGAGCGTCTCCTCTTCTTCATAAGCCTCAGTTTACTGAGGGAATCCTGGATGTGAAGGAATTTTGTGGGGAGCATGGGGGAATTGGAGCAGATATATATATATAGAGAGAGAGATATATTGATATATATGTATATATCTATATATAAATGGATGTCTTCTTTATTTTGGTGGTGGAAAGGGAGCCCAGGGATGGTGGGATGCGAGTGCCTGGCACAGCCCCGGGGGGGGGGGGTTTCTGCTGGAGCTGGGAACCATTGGCTTCCTCCTCCAGCAAAGAGCTGCCGAGGTTCCTTGGAAACATTACATTGTTCCCTTGATCAAGATCTTCAGTGCAGGCAAATAACAGCTCGTCTCTGAAACACCCAAACATAAGCAACTAATTTGGACCACCGAAAGGAAAAAGGGGGAGGGGAAAAAAAAAAGAAAAAAAGAGAGAGAGAAAGAGGAGGAAGAGGGAGGGGAGGGAAGAAAATCAGATACACTTGTAACCTGATTACAACAGCCAGCTATGTGTGCAAAATCACAATGCAGCTCTATAATTAAATCTCTCTTTCCCCCTCCTGCCGAGCTCTTTCCTCTAACAGGCACGGTACAAAAACAGTCGTTAGGACATCAAATTCCAGCTCCGACAAGAGGGGGCTTTTTTGTCTATAGCTGCTCGGCTCGTCTTTAAGGAAATAATAATTATAAGCCCAGAGCCGCTGGCTGACGAGCTTTGTGGAGCAGAAAGGGCTCGTTTTGTCCAACCGCCCCTTCCCCCTTGCAGAGGACTGGGGTGATGGGAAAAGGGATGGGATAGCCCTTGGAGCCAGTCATGGACACCCCTCCTTCTGGTGGGGTTCGGGGGGAAACGCTGGGGTCTGACAAGATGTTTGGAGACTTCTCCCCCTCCTGCCCTGCTGGTTCCATCTCATGTGTTTTAGCAGTTTGGTACCCGGCGCAGGGCACTCCCAGCTGGTTTTGGTTGTTTGGGGGTGCACAAAGTACCCGTGAGGAGCCAGCAGCTTCCTGGACTCGGGGAAAACTCCTGCCACAACATCCAGGGTTTCTGCCCTGCCTGGTGCTTGGCTGTTCCATAGGGCATCCCAGGGTCATGGAGGGATGCTGTGGATGGGGCTGATTCAACAGACCCCAAAGAGAGCAGAGAAGGGACACCCCTCAGAGTGGTGGCTACAGGGAGGGCAGTGCTGGCAGCCTTGCCCCAGCCCTGCCTGTTGATGACTTTGATTTACTCCCATTAGTCACAGCGGGCTATTCCCATCCCTGTGACACCCAGCACGTGCTTTTCCTGGCAGCTGCGGGCCAGATTCAGCCTTAGGGTCCCAGTTCCTCGCGGGCAGGTTCCTGCTTGCTTCTTCGGGGTATTTTTGGGAACAGGTTTTGCATCCCATCTCCTTCTCCGCTGTGAGTTGAGGGAGGGTGTGTTGGAGCTTCGTGCAGTGATGGCAGGTCTGGCGCAACAGCACGGCGGGGAGGGCGAAGGAAGGAGCCTGGCATCAGGAGACCCCCAAAATGGGTCCCAGTGTGCAAGACGGCTACCAGAGAGGCAGGATTTACCCGTCACACCTCGTCGAGGCAGCCGGCACGTGCCAGAGAGCACGACCGAGGGCGGGCACGGGCTCTGCAGCGCGGCGTGGAAATTCGGACACCGTTCCAATAAAGCCGTGCGTGTTTGGGTTTAATGGCAATTAACAGCTGTTGAAAGGCGAAAGATCTATTCTGCTAACACCTAGCGCGCTCCTGGTGCCTCTCGTGAAGGGATTTGAAAATGCATTTGTGAGTGTTAATTTTAAGCCACGATAACGTACCCCGGGAGAGGTGGATGGGTTCACCCTGTTTTCAGAAGAGGAAGCTGAAGAAGGACAGGGCATGGTGTGGGGATGGGTATTCAGTGCCTGCAGCAGTGGTGAAATCCATGCCTGGCTCTGGAAGAGGGATGGGACTAAACTAGGGACCAGCTGGTAACATCAGTGCAGTTTTTTCACCAGCATTCTCTGGGTCTTTTATTTTGGGGGGTGGGGGGGAGATTAACTCGGTGCAAAACCAAAGGCATTCACGAGCTTAACCTTCAGCAGGACCCTCGCGCTGGGGGGCACGTAGGAAATCGTCTTTCCCTGGGAGATGCTGCGAATCTGGATTTTCCAGTTCCTGGAGGGCTCTGCTTGTTTAAATTAGAAGCAGATAGGAGAGGTGAATTTTAAGAAGGACAGAGCAAAGGCACACAAGTATGCAGTTAACTTCTAAACTTCTTTCTCTGGCTCTCCCGCTGAGTAAATGCTTTAGGAGCTTCAAACCACAGCTTTTAATATCTCCTTAACATGCCCCGCGATTCCTTCCCCCCTGTCAGAACGGCGAGAGCAGCTGTGAATATTTTCCATTTTAAAATGTTTTGTATGCATATGAAAGTACCTGCAGCTCCTGTGGGCCGGGCTACGGAGAACTGCTGAAGCCAAGGGTATCTATTTTATATCGAACCTCAAAATAGCACACGCTCCTGCCTCTCGCTCGCTTGCTCGTGTCCTGCATCCAGGAGGGTGTTTTTGATACAACTGGCAGATCAAGGGAAAAATCCCCAATTTACTCTGTTGATGTAAAAGGTCTTGTCAGTCGGAGCTCAGCATTCCCAGTCACCTGGCTGGAGGACTGTTTGAAACTCCCGAATGCAGAGCCTGTAATACTGGGCTGTTACACGGGGACTGCAGTTTTGGGGAGGTTTCCCGTGCACGTTCCTCCACTAAGCCACATTTTTTCCCACTGAAAGGTGTAACTGCCGTTTCCGTGCCTTACGACCAATTTAGCAGCCGGTCCGTGGCCAAAAAACGCAGGCAGTAATTACAGCTTTGGGGTTCGTGCTCCTCTCAAAGCTCTCTATGGGTTGTGCATGTCAGCCCTCCTCCTTGCCTATTTTTTTTTTCCCCTGATCTTGGATGAAAAAAGCTTATTATCAGGTAAAAGGGGGAAAAAAAACCCAACCCAAACTGATGTATTCAAGCTCCAGTCTAATTGTGACAAAATCCTGGTACCAGGGGCTTGGTGGAGGTTATGAAAAGCAAAGGGCATCCAGCACGGGGCAGGTCCTGGCACCAGGAGTCCCAATTTGAGATTTTGGAGGTGAAGGGAGCATGCAGGTGGCAGAGCAGGAAAACAAGGTGGGATTGTGACTACACAGTCACCCTCCTGCGCTGGGCAAGGCAAAAAAAAAGACATCAGGCTTTATTTGGAGCTGAAAACCAGCCTGTGGTCTGGGGGATATTTAGCTTTACAAACCCCAGAGCTGTGGGGATCAGAACTGATGTGATCTGGGGAAGGGAGGGGGCACCAACCCCATCCCTGTGCACCCCCCAGCCCTTCTCCCTTCTTCCCTGCTCTGGTGGGGCAATGGAAGTGGAGCTGGGACAGTGGGAGGATGCTGCAGCCTCCAGCTGCTGCCCAGCTTTGGGTACAGCCCCTTGAGGGGGGGGGGAATTTCTTGGCTCCCCCCACCCCATGCAAAGCCCACAGCCAGGCTGAGAGCAGGGGTTTATAATCAGCCAGGATTTATGGAGAAAAACGAAATCCCGAGCTGTTCTGGTCATTAATCAGAAATTCCTCGCTCAGCTCCCGAGCTGTTTCCCTGGGGATCTTCTTGTGGGGACCCTCCACCCCACAGCCCCCTCCCCTGAGGGGATGGCAGCTCTTTCCTTGCAGGCAAGGGGCTGGGGTGGGGAGAGACCCCAAGCTTTGGAATTAACCAAACCCCCAATGATGAATAAATCCCCATGAATTCACTAGAATAAACCCCAGCAGGGACCCCCTTGCCTTCAAATCCCACCTCTGTCCCCACAGCATTTTAATTGGGGGGTTTTATTTAGGGGGTTTTCTCTGGGAGGGTGGGACCCTGGTGTCAGACTTGGTTCTGCTTTTAGGATGGGGGGGAAGGAATGAAATCAGGGCACAGCTTTTGCCGACGTGTTGGGATCGTCGCCGTCCGTGTTTTAATGTGATTTATGCCTGGATTTCTAAATCCAGCCACTGACTGCATGCTTTAAATATAGCTCCAAAAACACCCTGGAAACGTGTAGTAAGCACGTTAAAAACGGCGGGCGGAAGGGATGTACAGCACCCCCCTGCCGTGGATGGGGAGCAAGAGGGGGTTATTGGGGTAAAAAAGGGGATTTGGGGGGGGGGGGGGCAGCAGATGGGGATGGGGATCCAGTGGGGTCTGTGCCCAGCCCCCGGGTGCAAAGTTGAGCGCTGGGTTGGCGATGAGGGGATGTG